AAGAGAGTGACACAATGGTTACACACATCTACTTCACTTAAAGGCCATGAAGTCAGTGGGATTTCACTGCACACTAAAGGGCTCCATATGTAATGAACACTCTTGAGAATGAAAATAATTCTAAACCAACTGAGAGAGGAAGAAGAGTAGAACTGCAGCAAGTACGTCCAACTTTGCAAGCTAAAAAAACCCACCCCTGTGTTTTAAAAATTGTTCAGTGAATAGTTTTCATTGAGTCTTGACTGATATGGGTGAGGCTGCATAACAATATTCACTCCAAACTCCTTTTTTCATATGCCTGTATCTGATCATTTTGGCTGAAATTCTTCAAGTTTTCATAATGCCCACTGGTTTTTCCAATATCCAGACATTTTAAAGAAGTTCAAATTGCTCTTGAGCCATGATTCACTGATGATGCACAGACAACTTGAAAATACATGTTGGTACAGCTTTCTCCCATGGCTGCAGTATACTAAGAACATGTATTGAGCAGCCATTGAACATGTTGCCTAGACATAAAATCAGCTTTTAAGGCCCTATTACAGCAAATCACCCCAGTCCCCAAGCTAGGCATGCTCTGAAATGTAAACATGCACAAGTTGACTGACTTTTGCACAAACTGATAATCAAATGAAATACGTACTCATCACTTAGATGAGCTACCGGAGATTTGTGCATGTGGTTAAGTGTTTTGCTGTATTAGAACTGAGTTCACTGCAGCCTGACTAACCAAGCTTAAGTCATCCAGTAGGCTTTGTCTGAATTCTGGGGGAAACAGGCACCTCCAGGTAAAGATTCTTCCAACATGAGGATTGCTGGTTTGGAGTGGGTGCTGACTAGTATCAGGTGAAGAGGTTTCTACCACTTCCCTATGAACCGAGTCCTGTGATATCTTCTGTCTCCAAGAGTGGAAAGTGTACAGCATCTGCAGCCACCAGCCATCTGGACACTGCAGATGTTCAACAATCTGACATTGTTCAGCCTATTAAAGACACTGGTCAGTGGTGTGTTCAGATCAGAGGGAGTTTGCCCTGTTGTTCTTCTAGCTGGGAGTTACAGGGTGCTAGACAGTATTCATACATTGATCATCACAGGCCTGCTCAGCCATCACACTGATATTTTTCATGGGATGTTCTTAATTTCACAAAACTGAATTTTTGAACAAACACATTTCCATGAACTTCATCAGCTTCAGTGGACCTTTCCCCAACACAAATGCACTGTAGATGAAAACTTGGATTGTGATCAATCCCCAAACCATTAAATGTGGAAGACACAGAAGTATCTTCCCAGCCTTTTGGGCCTCCCCAAGCCCTATGGGGCAGCAGTGCAACTTTGTGAGAGCAGGGAGGAGGAAAGGCCATTAGGAGGTTGCTGGCAGGAGGCAGCTTATAAAGAATTTCCAAGTTTAGGAAGATATCTTCGAACTTTGCAGAAACTGAAACAGAGCTGAAACATTACCAGCATTATGATAGTTCATTGATATGCTATGTGAAGCCAGAATTGCATTTATATACTTTAAAAAATTTAATCTGTTTTTCATTCGTGTATTACACAAACTGATATGCACATACTGGGTAGTGTAATAAATACAGGTAGAGATTTAGGAGTGAAGTCACAGATAGATTTCACTGGGTTTTGAGTCAATGACATAACATTATTAATTTTCCTCCTTATTCCATATTAGTTAAAATAGGTTTACTATTACAATTTGTTTTTCTATTAGAAGACAGGACTAATCAAAGTGCCTTAAAAGAGAAAATACAGATCTGAATGGTTTACGATGAGGAAGAAAATTAAGCCCATGTGCTCGAAGGCATCCACTGGAGTATGGCCAAGCTCAGCTGCCTCACTGAGAAGTCTCATGGCACTGCTAAAAGAGCATTTGGGAAAAAAAATTAACATAGTGCTGATAGTTTAGTTGCCTGAAGGCTTCTTACAGACCGAAAGGAATTCAGTGGTCAGGAACCAAAACTGGTTAAATGATAAAATGGGAAGAAATACAGAAGTCTGTGCACAGAAAACTAAATGCAATTACAATTTCTGGACAAACTCTGACTATTAAATTGCTCAATCTGTGTATACAGTCACAGATATATGACTGCTGTTATGTTTTCATGTCTAAGGGTAATACCAAAGGAATTACTCCAACTGCCTGAGATGCTCTGGAAGAGCCAGGATGAAAGTAAAATGGAAAAAATATAGTTGCAGGGGAAAAGACAACTTTCTCAATGATGATAAATATTAAACTTAGGTTTAATATTCCTGTGATGGTGCTGAAAATTGGGTTGCCTGTGTAATATAATGGCAAACATAGAAAAATATAAAGGTCAAAGAGAAGAAAAGGTTAGCAGAAATAAGTCTGATTAGACAGAACTATTAGGCAGATGCTTCAACTGGGCTAACAAGGAAGGACATTAAATGTGACACCTCTGAGGAAACAGGGGCTAGACACTTTTCAGCCACACAAGGAAGTGAGCTTGAACACCATCTTTCACAACAGAGCCATGTATGACTTTAATACACCTGAAGTCTTTATGGTGGGAGAGCCAGGGTAACAAAGCAAGGACAAGGGAAGACTGTCTGATGCCAGCCCTGAAGGAAAAACCAGGCTTGGAGAAGCTGGCAGGTCCAGAGTTTCACCACTGTCCTGTGCTTGCCAGAGAGACATGAAGGTGGGACATGCAGGTGGGAATGGGCTGTCCCTTCAGCTTCCTCCTTCCCTCCCTTCATTCACTGCAAAAGGGTGCACAGAAGACTACAAATACATACCCAACAGAGAGGAACCTAATTTCTCTCTGGAAAGTCATATTGTTGAAAATCAGTGGTAAAGGAGCAGGTATTATTATTGTCACTAATATTAGCCAAAACTAGTGACAAAAGCATATTAATGGTCAAAAAAAAATGTTTACAATTCCGAATCAGGGAAATTTTCCCTTTGCCTAAAATTTCAAATTCTTTTAGGTGTATATAGGTTTATTTGCCTGATAGCCATTTTCCCATAGTTACCTTTGTAAGGTAAAACCAGAGTGTAAATGTATTACAGGTGCAATAATGAATAGGCCTTTTGGAAAATTGAAAATGTTACAATGCTGAAAAGTATGGCACTGTTGTCTTAAATGATCAGTGCTTCAATATACAGATGCTTCTATTTTTATAGCTTGCTAAATTAATTGCTCATCATCTGATGTGGCTGAATCTATCAGGAAGAACCATCCTAATACCATGAGCCCCAAAGGGCATGGCTGTTTTTTCCAGATTGCTGTTTCTCCTTGCTTACATAAATCCAGAGTGACACAAGCTTTGTGGAGGTGGCTTAGCAGTAACCAGCTCCCAAATGCTGAGCAAGCTGAATCTTCCCACAGCTGAATCTCCCCTGAGGCCTACAGAGGTAGCCTGGTAGACCAAAGAGGTGACGGGGTGAGGCTGGGAGTCCAGGTCTGCTGGACTCCCAGCCTCACCCCATCACCTATTTGCCAGCAAAGGAGGTGAACACGCTTTCCTCTCCACCTCTCCTGGGCTTTAAACAATGTCTGGATTGTTTAAATACCTGAAATCCCTGAATGTGCAGGCTGGGCTACTTCTCTCTTAATTTTAATCATTTAAAAATGTGTGGCTGATCCAATTTTGCTGTTTGGGCTCCCTCAATAGTGGGGAAGTGAAGGTACCTCCAGAAGGCACTGCATCTCTGAGGCTTTGGCACCCATTTTAGACTTGGATGAGTTGGCTTCTGCAGCTCTTGCTCTTTTTTTATTTGCTATGAAAAGTGTACAGACTAACTCAGATTAAATGTTTACACTTTAGGTGGTTAACATTAAGTGACATGAATGCTATCTTTATCATCCCATTGCAAGCTACAGCTTCTCCTTCAATTATCTACAAAAAGAGTATACTGTGTCCCATACCAATTTTAAATACACTGTAATGAGATATGCATTTGCTATTATTTTCTTTAGCTACTGCTGTTCAAAGTTATTTGTTAATATCAGGAGAGAAATGAGAATAT